ACAAACAAGCTCAATGTTACACTATGATGGAGGGTCACACTAGCCGTGGTATTATCCGGCAAGGTAGGAACACAAAACCATCAAGCAAAAGGAAGAGCCTGTTAGAATGAAAAGTAATGCTCATATTCAACAACTTGAGAGGACTAGTTTAGCAGAAACATGCAGTGTCACTGTACCAGCAGTTGTTTTGAGTATTTGCATCATTGAATCAACCTAAACTAAAGGGATTCTTGAGGTCAGAGCACCGAGGCTGTAAACAAGGATGGTCACGCAAATTGTGGCAATGAAGTTTTCATTAGTCTTGCGGGAGGGTGTAAATAATTTCACTACGGGCACCGGTCACAGTCTACCTCCACCTTCCTCGGTCTTCGGATACGGAAAAACCGCTCAAGGTTTAGAGATAGAAAGGAAGTTGTTACCGGATTTATACTGATTTTATTCAACCCTGCTGCTAATGCCAGCATGGACGCGGCTGATCGGCCAGAATGTCAGAGAGGCTCGTTGATTCGTGTTGGAAAGGCACCGTTTTTTCAGGATACGAATCCTATGGATTGACGGGATTCCAACAAATGCCACCGGGGAAGCTACAGGAACACGTTACCCCATAGCAGCACCGCAAATCCAATTGGCAGGGACGCTTTTCGATGCTTAATACTGTAGAACATTAAAAAGCCTCTCTTCTCAAGTGTGCGCACGCTTATTTGTTATGATTTAAAAAAACAAAGCGACATTCCTCTGGAACTGGGATTGTGGAATACAGACAGAAATATAGCCCTGTTGGCCCGGTTAATTCTATTAAGGTTTAGCAGGTGTAGCTCAAGTTCAAAAAAAACAGCTAAAAAAACGTTCTTCCGCGAAGTAAGATTGGGAAAGTAGTCCGTAGAGGGTATTTTCCAAGTAGATGGAGATAGAAAAGTGGTGAACATTTTTATCATTTTGATTTTCATCAAACGAACAAACAAGAAATGATTAGATAGATATGAAATAGTAGAAGAGAATGTTCGCGGGCAGGATCGATTTATTAATCACATGCTCTTGATGATAAAGCCTGAATGCTGGAGATTGAGAAGCTGTTTGTGTTAACACCGTCCATATAATAATGGAGTAAATGTTGGGACCGTTGATAATATATTTGCAGTAAGCTATCTTGTCCATGCAAAATGAGGGAGCCAAAACCCTTCCATGACTAAGCTTCCTATGAAACCGTCACTCGTCCATTAGCCATCATTTCGTACTATTTGACAAAACAGGTCAAAGGAGCGCGCAAAAGAAGTTGATCTTGAGAATCTTGAGATTTTTTTCTCAGACAGCAAAGGCCATTGGCTATCCCAATTCTAGTGTTGACTTTAGCCAGTCATGGGGTAATATTATGCGATCGTGGAGGTAGTTTAAGTTGTGTCCAAGTGGCATGCTGTATTGGCATGGAAGGGTGGGATTCATGTTTTCTAGAACACTTTGCCTTAGCGTTGGTGCAGTGTATTCAAGCGGCCGTTTGGCAGGGGCGACTATTTAGCAACACCGGTGTGCGCGAGTGGAAGCCTTCCTAGTGTCTGCGGGTCGGCCAGTCAGAAGCAGCTGCCTTAGATGTTTGATGACGATGAAGCAAGGGGACATTGAACGAGGAAGTTGGACAGCGCTGTTGTCTGTCCGCCACATGCTTCATGGAATTGAGCACAAGGGGACTATTACTACGGGCGTTCCTATTTCCGTCCCAAAACGACAATTTAACAATAATGGAACTCTGAAACTCTTCAGGCCAACTTCGAAACTCATGGAAAAAGAGCACAAGAAAATACTACACAGGTGGATCTTGGCAGTTTAATTGAAGAACGTAATAAAAGCATTAGGTTTCGCTCTGATCTTCCGGTGGACGGGAGCCAAAACTGATGAAAGTTTGTCGACTTGGATACCTGTACTAAAGCTGTGCGTCTATTACTTGTAACGTTGCATTGAGGAAGTAAACGTCACTATCCAAATGATGACTGGCAGGATGAAATTCCTGCCTGTAAATACAGGTAGTATTGCCAAATTCCAATGACCAGAAAATGAGACACTCAATCGATGTCGATAAGCAAAGAAGAAAGCATTAATGGGGTCCACATAGATAGATCCGGGTAGTTTAGTTGTAGAACGCAATATACGCTTTAGGTTTCGTTCTGATCTTCAGTGGATGGGAGCCGAGGCTGGAGAAAGTTTGCCGACCTGGAGACCTCTACTAAGGCTGTATGATTATTAGCAATAACGTTGCATCAACAACCTAATACTCACTACTTAAAGTAAGACTGACAGTAAGAAAATTCTGTCTGGAAATGCAGTTAGCATTTAAGAAGGCCAAGGACTGGAAAATCAGACACAGACGATGTCGATATTGACCTCGTGACCACCCATCGCTCAGCATATTCCCGCAAGTCCCAATTAAATTACTCGTTGCCATATGTAATGATATTGCATATTTTATTCCTTTACCTAGACATGATTCGCAGTAACCAGTGTTGGCATGTTGACGTCCACACAGAGACTGTGGTGGGAGAAGAAAGAGGTAGTTACCGCACGAATTAGCAGTCCCGGTAGGTGACATGTTGCCGCAGTGACTACTCCACTGGTCCCTTATTCTCATTTGTAGCTTAGCGAAGGGGTGGTTAGCGCAGAGCGATTTGATTGCTCCTATTGTTTCACACCGTGCCTGTTCTGAAACTCTACGGGACGAAACAAGACATGACGAGGCGTGGATGGACCTGTTACAATATGTGGCCAAGGATTTGTAGTTGGAACAAGTAATGACGAATGGGCGGTACTTTGAGCCTGGCTGCCGTGACACAAGTGACAATGACGTTCGGCTATGTACGATACCTCGGTATTGGCAAGCTATTTTCACGGAGAATATCAGCATAGAACGAGATTCGTACGCCTTAGTGTTCACCATCTGAGGATTGATGGACGACACAATCTCCCACTAATATGGGGAATTTACGAATCACCGTTTAATGGAAAGGCATCCTTTGGGAAATGAGTAAGTAAACTTACTCAGTACTACGTAGTATCCCCCTTATCTGCCGACAAGATTATTATCAATTTTTCTTCTTCTTATCGAATACATTTTCTGCATGCAAATATTAGCAGTTTGATATTCCCACTTTTCAACGTTGCGCATATGGTGACTCACGTTTCACACTTTCTTCCTCAGAATATAATACACACTTTTGTCCAGAGCATGGTAGCTAGACTGTAAGGCATTTGTCCCCTGATAATGCTTAAGCAGAACTCCAGCATCTGCAGAATCCGCTTCTTTAAAATGGATATCCAGACTGTTTCTGCGTCGGCAATATCGGCAAACGCACCGGAAAGTCTCTTTATCTAACGTTAGAAACTAAATACTTGTTGATAAAACTGCCTTCAATAGACGATGCAACGGGCGAACATATAAGACGAAATATAAAGACAGCAAAAAAGCGCTCTTGCCGAATAGCCACTCGTAGGC